TGCATTTTATAGGAAACTGCACTGCCCATAAGTTTGAATGTGAGGTAGTAGTCCTTCATATTTAAACTAGGCCTCACTCTACGTGAGGCCAGACAGGGAGCATGGAGACGAGATTTTTCTCTCTCACCTTATTCCAAAACCGTCCTTTGCTCTGCTCCCCCACCATCTTCACAAGAAGTTCTGCATCTCCCTAGGTATCTCTCCCCTATACCCTAAAACCTACATCCAATGTCTACTCACCTTACCCACCATCAAAATCCGTCCCATGAAAACACACACACACACACACACACACACACACACACACACCACACACACACACACACACACACACACAACACACACACACCACACACACACACACACATACACACATACACACATACACACGCACACACACATATACACACACATACACACATGCACACACATATACACACGCACACACATATACACACATGCACACACATATACACACACGCACACATATACACACATGCACACATATACACACACGCACACATATACACACACGCACACATATACACGCACACATATACACACACGCACATACACACACACACACACATACACACACACATACACACACACATACACACATACACACACACACACATACACACATACACACATACACACACACACACACACACCACACACACACACACACACACACACACACACACACACACACACACACACACACATACACATAACATACATACATACATACATACTACATACATACATACACACATACACACACACAACACACACAACACACACACACACACACACACACACACACACACACACACACATACACACATACATAATACATACATAAACATACACACACACACAACACACACACACACACACAACACACACACACACACACCACACACACACACACACACACACACACACACACACACATCACACACACACACCATACACACACACACAACACACACACACACACACACACAACACACCACACACACACACACACACACACACACACACACACACACACACACACACACACACACATACACACACACACACACACACACACATACACACACAACAACACACACACACACACACACACACACACACACACACACACACACACACACACACACACACACACACACACACACACACACACACACACATATTATTATTATTATTATTATTATTATTATTATTATTATTATAAAGTATATGTATAACCTTAATTTTAACTTTTAATGAAGAAATTAAATTTCATCAGGAATGTGAATGCCTCAGATGTGAAAATTAAGTATTCCCGAAGGACTAACCAGGAGTTATGGGATGTTATGATTTCAAGCAGGACAGGTGATAATCTAGGAGCTCACAAGTGTGTTCTCTCTGCAAGATCAGAATATTTTAACTGTATGTTTGGAGCCAACTGGATTGAGGTGAGTGAACAGCCTAATTCTGTTCATTACAAGCATACTTTTAAAGCATATTTTCCTACTTTTTGCAGTGAGTGAAAATGGTTATATCAAAATAGATATTTAATTTGGTTATAATATTCCAATTACATCTCTTTCAGTCAACCTCCACAAAAGCATTAAGTATGCCTCTGCCAACCAATATATTGGTCATTATTCTGGACTATTTTTATGAAGATGACTCGACAAAGCTTCGACTGTGCAGAGAGCCAGAATTTGTTTGCAACGTGCTTGTGGTAGCTGATCAGCTTTTAGTCACACGACTTTGCGAGATATGTGAAGATGTTTTAGTTGGATTGCTAACTCTAAAGAATGCTGCAGACTTGTTAGAGTTTGCATGTACATACAATGCAAAACAGTTGAAGGTTTCAGCAATGCAATTCATCTGTCTGAATTTGGCAGCTATATTAGAGAATGGGTTAGTATTCATAGATCTGTTGACTTTTTATTACATAGAATAATGTTTATGGTGACATTATTTTGTTTTAGATAAGGTAGAAAATAGTGAATCAGTTAATGAAGATTTGAAGATGTAAATTGAAGTTGATGTGCTGATCATTCTTTTACAGATCTCTTCTGACCATTAGCAGTGGTGACATTCTTATGGATTTATCAATTTACTACCGCAAATTCATCCCACAAATGTGTTATCGTATGTTAACTCCTTATGATCAGTCACCATATGCAGATGAGCTGGAAAGGCTTCTAGAGAAAAATCCAGTGGTATTACCAGGGTCCGAAGAAGAATGGGAAGACACATATGTCAAAGGTATAATATGAAAAGAAAAATATAAATTATTTCCTTTTTCTTCTACCCTTTCTGTTTGTCTTTCACCTTTAGGAATAGAACTACTTGGACCAGGGGTTTCAAATACAAAACCCCTTGCAAGCCACTTTTCATTTTAGTTACCATCTTGAGGGCTGACAAAGGATTAAAACTTGCAACTTACCTATACTTTTCTCAAATTCTGTTTTGTTTATTAGATTTTAAATGATGACACAGATGGAAGCAAAATGTATTTGATATCATTTTGCACCATAGTGATCATTATTTCTTAGGCTAATAATTATTCTTGCTATCTCTTGGACCACTGACATAGGGCCAAGTTTTGGCCACAAGCCATGACTTTGACATCCCTGACTTAGTTCTTTAACCATTTGAACCCATTGACACTAGGATGGCAAAAACAAATTTAATGTCCACTTTTTATTGTTTATTAAAGTTGTTTTTACTCATTGATGCCTCCACAAGTGCTTAACCCTATGGGCCTGATTTATTTGTGATGTAATATTACAGGCTAGACTTTGTGGCTAGGCCTAAGCTGTGTAATGCCAGCCCACCCTCTTTGAGTCATAATGCATTTACAGGTCATAGGTTGTTACGTCATGATGGCTATAGCCATTACTGTCATTGAAGGGTTAATCACCAGTGAATCAGTTACTAGTCTTAGCTATCTCACCTGTTTACCCTTTTCTCTGCATTTTTTTTATTTTATTTTGTTTTTGCTATTAGTATTGTTACTGATCCAATGATTATAATAGTAGTAACACAACCAGCTCAAGGAATGGGAAGATCAGGTAAGGTTACATAAGCTTACTAATTAGCTCATCTATATGCAAACAATATTCACAAAAGAAAATTAGAGTCAACAGAAAATTAGAGTCAACTGTACATTTACCTACCAGCAATGGTTTAAGAGTAGATGTAGACTACACAAGATGTGCTGCTTTAGCTAACATTCTTTGGTAGTCAACTTTACTGTACATATAGAAAAACTTGGCCATGTGCTATAGGAACCACTGCTAAAACAATGATAACATTGCTTATGGTTTGCAAGTAAACTATACATGTTGAAGTACCTGGTACATTCCCCTCTCCCCTTTCCATAATGCAGCTCCTGAATTCCTTTGAAGAATTGATGCTCTTAAAGGGTTAAGAACACTAAGTTCTTTTTTGGATACATTCTAAAGAGAAAGCATTTTGCAAGGTTGATATTTATTTTGAATCATTTTCTTAGAACTGTTCTCATGTCAAGTATGGGAGGTCCAGAATGATGAACCATTGATCATAGAGAAAATAAATAATTTGAAAGAAGGAAAAGTCTGCAATTCAGATTTTTAATTTCTAATGGCTCTAGCATCATTATCTAATGGGCACTAGTACCTAGTACATCATTCATCACCTCTGGGAGGTCTTTCAGTCCTTGTCTATTTTGAGCATATTTCTCAATCCTACACTTGATACACCAGAATTTACAGGTACACTGATTTTATTACCTGTTTTTCTTTTTTCTTTTGGTATTCACTTTTCCAAACTTCTTGTATACTTTATTCATAAACTAAACAAGTGGACCTTTGACCAATATCACATAGGATTATTATTGATCTTACAGTTTTTAAATTCCTTTTTTAATAAAAAATCATATTGAAAAATGGTCTGATTTATTTTCAGTTTGATTTCATAATTTGAATATAGTGAAAGGAATGTTAATACATTTTCTCAGTGGTATTTGTAACAGTCAGAAAGTGGTTGGGGTCAAGATGATATAGGATGGGCAAAACTGAAGGTGTAAATACAGAGCATTTCTCTTGTTTGCTATACCAAGTTGATAAACACAATGTGGAGAAAATGTTTTTACAATTACCATTATACTTTGCATCGATGAAACTGTTGTCAATATTAATAGCTAGATATACAAATTCTCTCAAAGAATGATAATAGGATTTGTACTTAAAATGACAAAAGGAAGAGGAGGAAAACACAGTTATATCAATGGCCTTTTTACTTTACTGCTTCAAAAAAGGGAAAGGTAAAAGGCTTCTGGTATATTCATGTTTTATTCTGTTGTATTGTTTACAGCTTGCTCAGCACGAATCCCACACAGAGAGTGGGAGTGTTCATTTCTCCCCCTTCCTCGAGAAGTGAGGTGACCAGAGTTTGTAGATATGCTACTGATATTTATCTTTGGATTTAGTAATATATGATTTTTCCTGCATTACCACAGATAGACCGAGTAGGAGTAAAGGGCAGGGTTCTTCACGCAAAAAGAAACGCTCACACAGAAATAGTCAGAGTGAATCACGAACAAGAAATTCTTCAACTTCTTCCCAGTTCTCTGTGGGTTCACTGTCTGATTCTGATTCTTTAAAAGACATACAGCAAGAATTAGAAGCTCTTAATTTTGATGACTTGGAAGAACGTTCCATTGAGAGCAATGAAAAGGTCACCCCACACACTGAAAAAAATGAATGCCATTCTGAACTGATCATCAACAGGGATGAGGAAATTTCAACTCAGAATCATATTTCTGCAGGTATGTATATATATATATATGCATGCATGCATGCAATTTAAATGCTGAATCTTCTTTTATTTCACATAAGGATTTAATTTCTTCCCTAAAATTTTGAATCTTTACAGAACATTCACCTTGGCAAAAAGTCCGGAAGAAAAAAAACATAGTGGATCAGCTGATACTGGCTCCCCAAATTGTTGAAACTTGTACAAATAATGTCCACAGTTCTGATAAGATTCCTCAAGTTCAACTTATAACCCAGAAAACAGAGGCTTCAACAAGGTATGGATATTGTAAAAAAAATGTGCAGATTTTTCTAATGAAAATCATTTATTTGAATTACTTAATCCATCCACAATATTTTTTGTAAGTTCAGAAATTGTTATTGTAGGTAATGTCTTGATTGTTTTTATTTTCCATTACCATAATTTTCCCCATATGTTGGTCTTCTACTGTCAAGATGTCTCATACTTTATGTTCTGGATGCCCTAACCATCATGTCATGAAAAAATTGGCTTGAGGGGTGAATGACATGAATGTGCTGTCATAGGAAAATTTGGTTGAGGGCCAGCTGACAGGAATTTGCTGTCATGGGAATTTTGGCTGAAAGCAAGAGTGGCAGGAATGACTTGCCACGAGTTCGCAAAACTCTTGGAGGGTATTTAGGGTATGTAGACATTTAAGAAGGGTCTTTTGTATTATTTCCATTGATAAATGAGTGTGAAATGTACAATATATGAGCCATGACTGGAAGATTCTTGGCTCCAGGGAGGATGCCATTTCCATGCTCAGGATCTTATTCCTGCTTGCCATGACTGGGGGAATAGGGTGTATTACAGAAAATAGAATATTATGGGAAAAATTCAATTATTTTTGTCATTAATACATTAATTTATGTAGTACCAAGACAGATGATATGGAGTCTGTGCAAGGAAAACAGTGGATAAAGCAAAGCAAATGACAAATACAAACATTGGTAAATAGTAAAGCTGAAAAGCCTTATGCTGAAAAGAAAAAAAATACCATTGCAAAAGGGAGGCATGTAGTCTAGTCACCACACATGAGTGTTTGTGTATGCCTGGCCTGCAAGCCTCACACCAGTCAGAGTGGCCACTCAGGTAAGTCCAAGTAAGTATTTTGGGCCACATTCAGGCAGTGAAGCCTTTGGATCCAAGTGGTTAAATGAGCATTTACTAATGACTGTGGCACCTGCACTACAAAGTTTTGCCTTTTGCCTTTTGGTCATTTGAATACTAGAGCACTACTGTTGTGCTACTTTTCACATATTACTTTTAACAATATCTATATAATAGTATCATGATTTTAGTGGGTATTTTGATTAGCCCAGGCCTCCTCCCCCAGATATAAACCCACTGGCTGTGAATCATGTAGTGTAGTGGGGGGGAGGGGTACTACCCCATTCACCCAGCAAGGCAGGCTGTGGGACACCTGGACCTGGCAGAAGCATGATCAGTATGGATGGGTACACATATTATGAAGCGATAGCCACCATTTCCTGGCAACAAGATGTCGATTATTCCCTATGGCTCAGGAGCTGATCCTAGCTGCAAGAATAGCGTCCTTTCCTGTGACTTTACAAGATCCCAGAGATTGAGGATTTCTGCCTCCAGGTATCGGCACTCCAACCTGCATCAATGGACATGGTATAGTGATTCAGGTAATGTGGCTAAGGAGATCAGCCACATCCTTATTAGCACTCATCCTTATTAGGGTTTACCAGAGTTTTGAGTTTTGTGATACTGACCATTGACTGATTGTGACTATGCTTTGGGTCCACTTCAGAACCCAGTCTCCAGTGTCTCATTTGAACAGATTTGGAGGAGAGTGCCTATATCTGATTGATTCATAATACATAATACTAGAAAACTTGACAGACTGTAGTTATGGGATTCCTACAAGCACGAACAATGAATGCAGTCCAGGCGTCCATTGGCAAATACCTGAGGTCAGGGCAGAATTTCATCTCATTAGACACACTAGGGAGAGAGATGAGAGTTGCGGGGCTCAACTGAATAGCAATCAGGCTGTATGTTGTTCGGACACTGCTGAGAAGAGAGGAGGAGCAGTACACCAGAAATCTTCCTGATTTAAAAAGACCAGAGAAAACTGAACTCCAAGCCTCCTTCACAGCCTTCCTCTGCAGTCTGTTCAGTGGATGGATGGATCATCTCAGTTCATTCTGGGACTGCAGTAGCTACCGTGGCCTCACTATTTTGCTCACATTCTTCTGTGATGAATCTGTGACCACCTACTAAAGCACCAGAGACTGGAGCAATCAGGATTCACTCCTGGCATGTGCACAACAGACCATATTCCAGCACTTAAAGTCATTGTGTGGAACACTATCATGAGTTTGATTGTCGGCTGCTAATAGCCTACATCAACTTCAAGAAGGCGTTTGAGTTTGACTCTGTGCATCATAAGTTGCTATGAGAGATTCTAAGATAGGATTTTTGATAAAGGGGGAGGGAGGAGGAGAGCGAGAGAGAGGGGGAGGGAGGAGGGGAGAGAGAGGGGGGA